TGAACATTAAAATCTGGGACACCCTGTATAATATTGTAATGTAATCTTTATACTCGTTGATAAATGATGAAATACTGAGCAATTTCTAAACATATTAACAGAGTGTGCTATCATTTCGATCTTGGTATAGAACAGTTTTTCGTTGTTGTTTACAAACATTTGCGACATTGTAGCTTATATCCAGCGAGCCGCATATTTTGAGTACATAATATTTTGATATTATATATCATGGACGAAAAATTTTATATGCGTCATTGAGAAATTGAAGATAGCACACCTGAGCTATCTTTTTGACGAGGAGTGTATCTATTTTTATCAAGTAAATTTCATAATTATTCTAAAAAAAGTTAAAAAATCATTTCAGAAAAAGTGATTAAATCCAAAAAGCAATTTTAGATGACAATTTTACAAGGTCTCTTTCGACCTTTTTGGTAAAATAACTGACATAGCTTTGATAAAATCGGTGCGTAGTGCGTACAGTAAATTCTCCCTCATTGACCTTCAGCTTAGAAACAAAAACGGACAATTTGGGAAGAGGATTATTCGAGTCTTATGACTCGTTTTTGTAGTCGTTGACAATCGGTAACTATAATCGTATCTGCTCTTCCCAAATTGTCTAGCTTTGTGTACAAGCTGAGGTTCGATTAGGGAGAATTTACTGTAGTGCTAAACTAAAATGTTCAAAGCTGTGATTCGACCCGTTGGCAGCATTACCTTGAATCTAAGTAGTCCAAGAGGTGGTTCTGCAAACGGGATCCCTACGAAGCTGGTGTACGGTTTCGAGTGCCATACTGTTGTTTTCTCAATACCTCGAACGGGTCCACTCTTCGTTTGCACTATACTAGACAACTTACCCTGGCTATAGGTCGCATCGCAGCTGTAAACGTCAACACCGGTTCCAGATAAAAGCGGTTCTGCTGTCCCTGATGATAACAGTTTCAGAAAAATCAATATTAGTCCCAGCATCGCAATTCGTCAACAGATGAATCGAAACTGCTGACAGATAAAAATGTGCAGAATTGCAACGCTTATTTCATAACTACGAACTTCAACACAATATTCAGGGCACCGTTGTTTTATATTCAGGCATCGATACACCGCAGATGTTTTGCGAAAACCTGCCATGTTGATTGATAGAGTTTGCAAAACGAAGTAGAAAATGCCACATGTATCTATGATTCATTATATTTATATTATGGCGTGATGACTGCGTTGGAAAGAGTTACGATGCAATGGAAGATAACCTGCGTATTTCATTATATTAAACATTATGCAATAGTGCAAATGTGCAATAGTTCTATCGCGCAGAGTAGGGCAACTTTGATGTTAAGGATTTTTCACTTTATTAGGGAATTTTTTACAAAGAAACTATTATATCTTCTGCAGTCAAACTGACAAGGTTTATTTGTACGTATTTCAATGTCGTTTTAAAATTTTTTGGTACAAAAAAGAAGTTAAAACTAGTGGCATTGCAGACTCTCGAACATAGTCGCTTTTAAAAAAGATGATTTCGGGCATTCTGGTTCTGAAATAAAAAAATCTAAATGTTTCTTAATTAGTATGAATTTTGGCTATAAAAAAGTCGGTGATTAAAAAATTAGCAACACTTTGAAATTCGATTATCGATTTTTGGATGTTTTATTAAACTTCGGAGGCTTAAAAAATAGAATGAAATAAACATTTTTAGTTGACTTTAATTGGGACTGCAGTCAAACATGTACTAAATGCGTACTTCAAAATTTTGAGTCAATTGGCCAATTAGGTTTTGAGATATCATAAACACCATTCTGGAAAACATAGTCTCGAGAAAAATCTTTTGAAATTTAGTATGTCGATAACGAGAGATATAAGGTCGTCGCGCCTTTCAAACAACTATAACATCGTTAATTTTAGGAGAACGCGTGTAAAGTTCCAGAGATGTATTTTTTAAACTATATACTTCATGAATATGGCAAAGGAAAAGAATTGATTTTTTCAAAAGTTCACACTAGAATACTACCTTAAGTGAAGCAACACTTCTATGTTGATGCAGTAACGGACATAAATTTAAATCGATGAATTTTAATTTCAATTATATGCATACTGTATAACCGTTACTTATTTATTTAGTTTGTTTCGTTATGAAATCTCTACATGTCTCTTTATTAATCTCAAACATAGGGCTACGAAATTTGTTGTTTTTATGTTTCTAGTCTCCCAAACTTCTGTGAATATTGAACATTAGTTTACGACGAGATATCTAGCTAGAAACACTTTAAGAATTCGTTTATTTTAGTATACAAGTGCGCACAGTTAATTCTCTCTAATTGACCCTGAGCTTGTACACAAAAATAGACAATTTGGAAAGAAAAGATACGATTATTTTTATAGTCACCGATTGTCAACAACTATAAAAACGATCCGCAAGGCTCGAATAATCGGATCTCCTCTTCCCAAATTGTCCATTTTTGCTTCCAAGCTGAGAATGAATCAAGGGAGAATTTACTATACATGAGGAAAGGAAACAAGTCGTAATATTACATAACTAAAAGAAGACATCTCCTGACCTTGCAGTTATTGTTAACAGATCAGAAACTGCTTGGATATAAGAGTGGTGCAAATGTTTAAAGACTGGTCTTCATTCTGCCCCTAAAACGTGTTAGCTCACGGAAAACAGTCGGAAAAATGAATCGTCACAACCATCGTTTCCGCACAAAGAATCGTTTTTGTTCTTTAGCTAATATTAAAGCTGGATTTAATTTAAACACAGATAAACACTGATAAATAATAATAATTAATGCTGAAACAGTTAGAAAACAGTTGCAACGTTTTCAATTAAGGACCTGAAGATTACGTAAGAGACCATTATTTGAGTATCAAAACTCGAAAAATGATATATGCATCTGTTAAAGCTTATGAACACTGGTCCAAGTCAGAATTGGCAAAATATGTATATTACTCTCGAACGAATGGAAGTTCAATCGTATTTCTTCTGATGAGATAGCAATACATGAGACGACGTTTTGAAGAAAATTTGCAACAACGGGCATTTTACTAATTTCTTTCTTCCTTGTTTTATGTTTTGATCTTTTGTCCTTAAGCACTTTTCATCCTTGTCACTCTCTTTTACGTACTTGTTAGCCAGCGGCGTGAGCACGCAGCGAATCCTCCTACTCCGTTGAAGAAAAATGTTTACTTATTTCTTTATTTATAGAGTTTATTTTAATGTGGACACATTAATTATGAAGTCGTTAAGGATTACATGTTCTACAGAATTTATGTGGTTGATCTACAATTACATTAATATAACATAAGCTTTGCGTTGAAGGTATAAGTTGTCCAGGAACCCCCAAAATGCTGTATGCCCTTGAAAGGAGTGATTCTTGAGGTGATTTGAAGTAATTCTGAAATGAAATGAAAACGTTATGTTCAAAGTGATCGAATATTAAGTTTAAGTTAAACAGTTCTTAAGTTCAATGTATAAAAACAACATATGTTTAGTTATAAAAGCTCAATGTAGATTATGGGTTCCGTACCCGCATGGCAAAGGAAATAAAAATAAGAGTTACCACGACGTTAAAGGAATACGATATATAGGGTAGGCCGGAATTCGTAGTACAACCGAGCAGAGGATGATCCTGTATGAAAAAATCAAAAGCATAATATTTTTTTATCCGGGGCTCCGTTTTCAAGAAAATCGACTTAAAGTTTGTTCATCTGTGTAAAGGATTTAGATGTCTATTCTTCTACCGCAATTGCCTCCGTCCGAGATAGTATTTAGAAACATTAATTGTGTTGCGAACTACATATGCAGTAAATGGAGTGTTTCTATCATTGTCCATACGCTTTCTTTAATTAGTCCCAAAATGGTACCAAACACAAATCTGTTGTTGTCTGCAAATATAATGTGTAGCGGCATATGGTTGAAGTTAGCTTGCAGTGTCAGGGGCTAAGCGAGGATACCTTTCTTCATGTTTCCTAGCCCGGAAATGGCTTCATTCTTTCACTACTTTCAGGTGCCCAGCAGACTTCGCTGAGGAAAACATCATCAGCCATCGTCATGTCGTCGAACCACTAATAACCACCACTTTTTATTTTTCTCAACAGTATTTATTTTAATAATAAAAGAAGATCTCTGATCCGCATAGTGTCGCTTTTCGAAATAGATTCTTTTGACTCGGCGTTTCGCTTTTCCCTACATACTACCTTAACCTAAAATAAAAGGGCGAGGATTATCCTTCGTTCCTGAGTTAGGGAGCGGGTAACCTCACGAGACGCAGGTCGCACGTCGCCCTGTCGAATCATATATTTTTCTGAATTCCTGGGTCAGAGGTCCTATGAAATCTTAAATTTTGGTCACTCCGCTATCTTTTTGACGCAGGATACTAGAGGATAATGTCGGGGGATAAGTTCTACACTGAAAATTATATACAGTAATTTCTCCTTAATTCGCGCTCAGATTGCGCACAAAAATGAACAATTTGGGAAGAGGAGATACGATTATTTGAACCTGACGGCTTGTTTTTTAGTTGTTGACAATTGGTAACTATAAAAACGAGACACAAGGCTCGAATAATCGTATCTCGTCGTCCCAAATTATTGTACTGTAAAAATTAACAGATAACTCTCTATCAGAGACTATAATTCCGAGAGTCACACAGCGATTTTATAGTGTATCTTTTTTTGTAAATGAATTCATAGTTCAGTTCTTGGTACTTTTATTTCGATGCTTGGTCCTTTCACTAATAACTTTTGACAACATTACAAATTCTAAGAAATCAACAAAAAACAGGGTGATTTTATTATTGCAGTATATCGTTGTAACGTTATGGACATGTATTTGAGAATGTTTAATTAATGTTGAAAGGCAGCAAGATGCATTTGTCGCACCATGTTTCCCGAAATTCCTCGAATTTTTCATTTTTATTTTTAATAATCTTATTTATTTCCATTTATTCTCATAGAGCGCATGTCCTCGGAAAATAAATTGAATCATTTCAAATAGGGATAAAAAAGAAGCATTTCAGCAATGAACAAATTTATTTGGTTTCTTTGCATAATACACAATAACCTGTAATTAGTTGGTCACGATATTATTTTCTTCTTAAACCGAAATGCATTGAGAGCTAATTCACATCGTCGTTCACATCCCGTAGTACCTGTCAACAAACAATGTTAGTAAGAAATAAAATAATATTAAATAGAATTCACGTCTTAATCTTATCTTTCCTAACATTTTATATTAATTTTAAGACGGCAGAGGATTGCATAGAAAAATTCGATTTATGCTACAATATTGTTCATTATATTCCTTTCACATATAAATTCTATTAGATTGTTAGATTGTCCAAGAAGTTTTATACCAATCATTAGAGTTGTTCATATTTCTGGTTCCGTTACATTTTCGCAAATATTGAAAATAATCTGTCGATTACCATTTAAAAGAGCTTTCACAGAGAAAGAGCTTGTACAAGGTGTCCCAAAAATGTCTCGCAATCCGGAAATGGGAGGTTCCTGATATCATTAGAAGCAACTTTCTACTTACTGAAAATGCAACCCGCGGCTTCGACTACGAGGTATTAACGAAAAACGCTGATCAATAAGAGACGAACTCAGTTAGCGCGTGGCGGCCCTGGCAACGAGCTCAGTTCCGCTGATTGGCTCGGCCGTCTCGCGTCAGTTGATCTCGGCTTTCATTGGTCACTATTTTTCGTTCACTCGAAAGCGAAACTGCGGATTGCATTTTCGCTAAGGATGAAGTTACTTGGAATGACCTAAGGAACCCGCCATTTCCGGATTGCGAGACATTTTTGCGACACCCTATATAATCTGTCTATGCAAAATGAAAATCATTCGAATCAATTCTATTTCATCTATCAATAATTTTAATGTGCCGAGAACAATGTAACGACAATAATAAATCCTTTTAAACTTTTCATAATTTCTTTTCCATCTATACACTTTTCCAAAATCTCATAACATCAGCGATCTATTTAAAGCAATCCAATGCAAGCATTTCAAAAATACCTAGAAGAAATTTGTCATACTTATATCAAGCAGGTTCTACATAAACGGCGAGAGTAGAAATCTGAGCCATCGTTGAACCATGTCGAAGACACTTTGCAATACTGGTTTAAGGAGATCTTCATTTGCCGTCTCGATTGAACTCATAACAAGATCTCGCTCCTGCCTCATAGAAGATACAAGATCCCTCTTTCCGAAATGAGGAACTACAAGACCAATGTCCCTCTTTCCAATCTTGGGAACAAATTGACCTATGAAGTCTTCGATTAGGTTCACCCAGTGGCTAATGATATCGCCGCCTACTGGGAACAGCTTGCCAACGTCTCTCTTTCCAAACTTGGGAACGAATTGACCTATGAAGTCTTCGATTAGGTTCACCCAGTGGCTAATGATATCGCCGCCTACTGGGAACAGCTTGCCAACGTCTCTCTTTCCAAACTTAGGAACGAATTGACCTATGAAGTCTTCGATTAGGTTCACCCAGTGGCTAATGATATCGCCGCCTACTGGGAACAGCTTGCCAACGTCTCTCTTTCCAAACTTGGGAACGAATTGACCTATGAAGTCTTCGATTAGGTTCACCCAGTGGCTAATGATATCGCCGCCTACTGGGAACAGCTTGCCGACGTCTCTCTTTCCAAACTTGGGAACGAATTGACCTATGAAGTCTTCGATTAGGTTCACCCAGTGGCTAATGATATCGCCGCCTACTGGGAACAGCTTGCCAACGTCTCTTTTTCCAATCTTGGGAACAAATTGACCTATGAAGTCTTCGATTAGGTTCACCCAGTGGCTAATGATATCGCCGCCTACTGGGAACAGCTTGCCAACGTCTCTCTTTCCAAACTTAGGAACGAATTGACCTATGAAGTCTTCGATTAGGTTCACCCAGTGGCTAATGATATCGCCGCCTACTGGGAACAGCTTGCCAACGTCTCTTTTTCCAATCTTGGGAACAAATTGACCTATGAAGTCTTCGATTAGGTTCACCCAGTGGCTAATGATATCGCCGCCTACTGGGAACAGCTTGCCAACGTCTCTCTTTCCAAACTTAGGAACGAATTGACCTATGAAGTCTTCGATTAGGTTCACCCAGTGGCTAATGATATCGCCGCCTACTGGGAACAGCTTGCCAACGTCTCTCTTTCCAAACTTAGGAACGAATTGACCTATGAAGTCTTCGATTAGGTTCACCCAGTGGCTAATGATATCGCCGCCTACTGGGAACAGCTTGCCGACGTCTCTCTTTCCAAACTTGGGAACGAATTGACCTATGAAGTCTTCGATTAGGTTCACCCAGTGGCTAATGATATCACCGCCTACTGGGAACAGCTTGCCAACGTCTCTCTTTCCAAACTTGGGAACGAATTGACCTATGAGGTCTTCGATAAGGTTCACCCAGTAACTAATGATGTCGCCGCCTACGGGGAACAGCTTGCCGATGTCTCTCTTTCCAAGCTTGGGTGCTACATTATCTACGTTCACCACATCGTCCACGACGTCTACATTTCGAACTGACAACTCTGAGAGAGATCTCTTTACCCATTTAGGGACAAGATAACCCAAAAGATTATCTTCTACCGTGTGCACGAGTTCACTGATTATATCACCGCCAACGGGAAACAGGGAACCGATGTCTCTCTTTTCAAGCTTGGAAATTACTTCTTCCACAAACTGTTCCGTTGTGAGATCTCTCTTTCCGAAATGTGGAATGAAGTCGTGCAGGAAGTTCCATGCCTTATTGATAAAGTCGTCAACGGGATAGCCACCTACAGGGAATATATCACTGCCGGTGCCTCTTTTTCCAAGCTTGTCATTGCTTACTGGATGATGTAGTCCGGCTTCGTCTGCTAGTTTTAAAATCTTCTCGACATCACCCACTGGAAGACCTGCAAGCAAATTCTGGGTGTCTGATTGTGAAACATCTCCGTCCAGCTCCTCGTCCGGATCAGGCTCTAAAACCAAATCTGACTCTTCAAGAGACCGTTCACATCCTGCAGGGCAGTGATAATCTCTGTTTGAGTTAGGTTTATCTATACCATTTGCAGCCGGTCGTAGCACCGCACAGTCCACCGATAACACGAATACGGAGATGGCCACATACAGCGGGAACTTCATCTTCGCTTTGTTGATGGGCGAAACTGAAAGTGTTGACATCAGCTAGCCGGTCAGCTTATATAGTGCAGGCTGAGTGTATATTACATAGATGCCAGCAGCGGGATCAATGTTTCACACGTTATTTATTGTGTTTTGGCAATTGGTGGCTATTAATTGCTGTTGCAACGAATGTGTTTGCTTTGAGGCACGTGGGTGTTAAATGTATTGTATTGCGCCGCTGATCGCCTGTTCTGAGACAACTTTTGTTCAAGGTTAATGTCGCTGGAGTTGTCGAGTTTTTGTTTCGCATGTTGCGAAAGTGGTATTTTAAATAATTCAATGTCTATATTATAATGATTATTCACGAGTCGTTATTTAATACCCTGAATGATATTATCAAAAGCATCTATTATGGAACACTTTTCAGGAGGTTTAAGATTATCATCGCTTTTATTACTGCTCTATAGATTTTTTTCCTAGATAACGTAATGAACTTTGAAATATTGATTTAATATGAATAAAAAATAATACGAATAAAATAGCATAGTGCCAGCGTGTACCTATTATGGTACACCGTTTTCGCATCATGTGTCCCCGTGTTCTATAAATCGAAATAATGAAAAAATCCCAGTACAGGTGAACCTCCTACATCGCTGTTTTGGAAATGTGAAAAATTTCCTACAATGTCAGAATTCTATAGGGTACATATACATATTCATAAATTCGAATGTATAGTTTTGTTTCATTTATACCGTATATTTATTGTCAAGCAGATTTGGTGGCAATAATAACCGAAACATTACCGATTGAAAATACTTCTAAAGATCTGTCCAGTGTAGAAATCAAAAACTTCACTCTGAAAAGCATAAAAAAATGTTTGGACATGGCGAAAGACTTGAAATCATACTTTATAAAGAACGATCCTCTGTCGGAGAGAGCGGATATAATTAAAAGAAATCTACAAAATTGCTTATCTGCCTATCAAGAAGTTTACACAGATTTGCAAAGCAAGATCGAACAATCTCTTATGACAGATTTTTAAAACCTAAAACCACCGGAAATCCAGTCGAATTTGTCTATGAATTAAGCTCAAATTTAAAAATAAGACCCGTCAAACGTTCTTGACCAGTTATAATAAGTGACAATGATGAATAAATTTGTTAGCATAACATTATATTTTTTTTTGATTTTTAATTTTAATTTTGGTTATGAAACTTGAAATCGTGATCTTTTTAGTTTTTATATGATGTTGAATTTTATTTAAGTTTGTTATGAAATATTTTTATGTCTGCATATAGTTATATAATAGAAAAGATAATCAAAATGTATACAATTAGGAACAGTATGTTTTTCTTACAGTTTGGTTTTGGTTTCATTTATCATTTATACTATTATACAGGGTGTTCCACAATTATTTTAATAGCCGAAAATAGGGGGTAGCTGAAGTCATTTGAAATAACTTTTTCCTTTGCGAAAACGTAATCCACGGCTTTGTTTACAAGTTATTAACGAAAAACACTGACCAATGAGAGGCGAGGGCGCGAATTACAATGTGGACGATCGATTGAGTGCAACGTGCTTCGACCGTGGAGCGTGATAGAAGAAGGGAGGCTCCGTACTACGTTCGAATCAATGAACAAGTCGCGGAGCTTGAACATCAGAATTTTTTTTACTACATGACAGTGGTAATTTCAAGAAAAACGCTATTTATCCTTATTTCAGAATGTCTGAAGAATATTTACTAATTTTTCGAATCCGAAATAATAAGTAATTTAACCGTGACGGCCGTTTGAACTTTCTGGTATGCATGATACCTCGTGTGTACCGTATGAAATTTTTAAGCAAAGTGTGCAGTGAAGATTAACAAAGTACGTAACTGATATTTTAATTTAAATAATTCCGCGTCCGAACACAATTCAGCGAACGATTCACAAAGCTAATTTAATAATAAATAATCGCGTTAAAGGACATAAGGGATATGTTTGTTAGAGAAATATGAAGAATATTATCAATAAGAAACTCAGCCATTTAGTTGTAAAACCACTTCATGCATGGAAATGTGTGCAGGAGGATAGTGCATTGACCTCGTACAATGTATGATGAACTGCATAGCTGATCTGTATCCGACGGTGACCAACAGAAGGGTGCCTCCAGGCAGGCTATACCAACGTTCACTTTTACTGCATTATCACCAAGTAAAGGTAAATCGTAAACATTTCATTTTATTTCAGTAAAAGAAATTAAAACTAAAAAGCGTTCCTGTTAAAACGAATCTTCTTTTCAGAATATCTTCGAAATTATTCACTTGTTGAAATAAAAATTTTGACGTATTATACCTTACACAATTATTTGCAAGGTAGTGTACGATATTCCAAAAATGTTATTTAGTTATGTGTCTTTAAAGTGTCGAAGCAGAGTCTTTGCAGATCAACACAAATCCGAATTAGCAGAATACGTTAATTTTAAGCAGGATATCTTTATTTCATTTCATTTAGGAAAATTTATTATTGTCAGTATTCACGTTGAACTTATTCTGTTTAATATTTCAGGTGGTATAGTTCAGACAGACGTTGTTGTAGTTACAAGCAATGAAGAACAACGCTAATTGTAAGTAATTACCATAGATATAAATTTGCTTTTTACCTACTTCTTTTAGAATAGAATAATAAAGTTAAGTACCTTCACGTCCGTTTTTTCGTGGAAGAACTACACTTCTAAAACACAATAAGTTTTGTAGCAATAATTCTTCAACATTAATGAGCTGTACAATTTTAGTATCAAAACGGTTTGTCATGGTCCATTGATTTGCACAAGTAGACTTACTTTACACCATAGTAGATGCATATTTTGCAGAATCGTTCACATTACGTATAATATACCAGTTGCGAAATATATGTAAAATATTGCATTATAGAAAAACAGAGTATCATTCTCGTTCAGGCGGCATTGGCGATGCAAAAATAGAAAATGTACTTTCGAAAATCTTTTTCACACACTTTTGTTCACAATTCCAGTTTTTGATAAAAGACGAACACAGCAATTATAGCGTTTCCAGCTGCCTCTTAGATCTCCTTGTTGAAACTGAAAAATTAATAGTAACTTTGAGTTGAATTTAAAGAAAATTATCGTTTTTATCAAATGTAGCAATCAAGTGACTGAACCACGAGTATCCGAATTAAGAGACAAACTTCTATGGATAAATGGTTCTTCGGATAATCGATCTGAAAGAACAAATACTTTCCAAATATGGAGACTTAGTACGTAGAAATGCATATCCAACAAAAGAAATATCGCGCGAAGAATGAATTAAATATCAAAGATTCTGTCAAATTGCCGATTCTTCCTACAATACACATTTATAGATGACTCATATGAAGATAATGCCTAAACAAAATTTTGCAAAATCTTAACTGTTTAGAATGACAACCATAAAATAAAAAAAAGTACGTTTCCCAACTATTTTATCTGAGTCTGTAACAAAAATTGAAACAATGCGTTTTATGAGTCTCGATATCTCATATGTAAACAACGGACACATGGCTATGGGTATAGTGATATTCGGATAATCGACGTTCTACTGTATCGCGGATATAATGTAACAAAATCTTATAAATATATTTCGATAGCACACCTTGATTTGATCAGTAACAGCGGCAACGGTGGAAAGGACAGTTAGATGGATAGACTAGACATTTATCCATACAATAAACACTTGCACCCTCCTTTCCAGCTATTTCCCCAATCGCATCGCATACTTCCCTGTTTCGAAATAATAAATGATACAATTATTAACACTCAGTTACATTTTCTTGGCTGCCAGTAATGCAAAAGAAGGCTTTTATAAAATGCGCATCTATTTAACAGTCTACTGCGACACATTAATTAATCTATCGACTTTGAACTTCTACACACACACATCCCCCTCCAAAAGTATTAGGACACCTGTTGACTTTAGTATAAATAGTAATTTTTCATTCAGTTTAGATAATGTTTTATGTTTAGTATTAAGTTGTACTCCATCCTATTGTCGAAAGTACACGTTATGTTAGAAGGTTCTATCACTTATGCAATTGGTTTACCCATTGATTGCATTTCGTTCAGTGAAAATGTATGCCGAGATCATTTCGAACGATATGTTTTCGAAATATGTGGAGCATATTACAATATGGATGCAACCAAATAGAATCAGAAATAATAGACAAATTAATGAAATGGATGCCGAAGTTCGGCCAAGAAGTAATTGAAAAACGCAGTATATATGTATATTGTCGAGAAGAAAATTTAATTTTCTTTCATAAACTTCATGTTATTTTTACTATAATGTAAAAAAATAGATACATGTACTTGTTATACTTTAATATAATTAACTTTGTAATACATTGAAGAAATTAGAAAAATTTTTTATCGGTTTCTCAAATTTATTTAATTTTCTGTGATTGTCCCAATATTTTTGGAGGGGAGTGTATGTAAAGTGTCCCAAAAAGCTACTCAATTTGACTTCAGGAATCATTTTTGACATATCTTGTGTAATTTATTGCATCATTGTTAGTACTTTTGGTATAAAAATAAAATAGAAAAGGACGAAAATAGTTTCGAACGAATAGTGCACCAAGATCTTTAACAACACTTTTAGCTGCTCCGTAAAATACTTATACACTTACGGACATTGGCAGATATCTGTTGGACAGTTTGGTGGATATCGAAGGCAATTGCTTTGACACCAATTTCCCATTCCTGGTATACGTCGGTAAAGTGGAGAAGGCACGCACACCTGAGATCTGAAATTAAAATGTTCTTAATAACACTTATATGAATGATCAAATGTACAGTTTATAATGTATTCGTGTCTTTTATACCCCATAAGTTATTTTAATAAAATTGTACAGTTGAATTAGAGTTGAGATTTTGAAATTATTTTGTGATATTTTATTACATGGCTCACAGGGAGAAAAAGTGAATTTTAAAAGTAAATTACTTTTTTGAAAGGAATCTTGTAACTCTCCATGTTAAAGATAAGTCTTTGTCTTATTTAATAATACTAATACAAGTTAATGATATTAACACTGGACACAATTAAAAAGTTTTTAAAATTAAGAATGAAATTGGAAAATATTAAGTTGTTACTATCAACTATTAACTTAAGCAACTGTCTAGTACACGTACTTCCGCCATGAGTTAGTTCAATCAAGAAAATAATAGCGCTGTAACTAATCATTTTATTTCGCAATTATTTTGAGGTGGTCTTCCTAAAAGTCTCATCACCGTGTTAATGTTTAATAAACATAAAAGAAGTTACGTTAAGTTATGACTGAAATGATTAACTAACTATTTGTATACAGGGTATCACAAAATTATTGTACAAGCGGAAAATGAGGGGTTACTGAGATTATTTGAAGTAACATTTTCTTTAGCCAAAATGTAATTCGCGGTTTTGTTTACGAGTTATTAACGAAAAACAGTGACCAATGAGATGCGAGATCGGCTGGCGCGAGGCGGCCGAACCAATGAGCGAAACTGGGTTTCGTCCGATCGTTGGTTCGACCACCTTGTACCAGCCGAGCTCGCATCTCATTGGTCATTATTTTTCGTTAATAATTCGTAAACGAAGCCGCGGATTGCATTTTCGCTAAGGAAAAAGTTACTTCAAATGACCTCAGGAGCCCCCCTCCCCAATTTCTCTCTTCTACAATAATCTTGGAACACCCTGTGGAATATCTTTTTATTCTGAAGGCACTTGTGAAGTGGTTTTTCGATTGACTAACTCATATTTGCGAATACTTACCTAACAACTAGTGGGAATATATTATTTGGTGAACGGTAGTCTTTGTAATAAAGCAGGAAAGGATTATCCTGTTGTACAAAGAGGGGTGGAACTCCAGCGGTACTCGTCACGATACTAACATCAGCACAGTTCCGAAATGTTTCTGGCCTCCCACAACCACTGGCTTCGGTTCCATTGTCACAAGTACCCCACATGTTACCTGATAATAATTTTACAGTGCTCATTTTAAGTCAGATAATATTCCTGACCTCATTTATATCGTGATTCACAGTTCACTCGATGCAAATAATAATATCACATAATATCACNGTTAAGTTATGACTGAAATGATTAACTAACTATTTGTATACAGGGTATCACAAAATTATTGTACAAGCGGAAAATGAGGGGTTACTGAGATTATTTGAAGTAACATTTTCTTTAGCCAAAATGTAATTCGCGGTTTTGTTTACGAGTTATTAACGAAAAACAGTGACCAATGAGATGCGAGATCGGCTGGCGCGAGGCGGCCGAACCAATGAGCGAAACTGGGTTTCGTCCGATCGTTGGTTCGACCACCTTGTACCAGCCGAGCTCGCATCTCATTGGTCATTATTTTTCGTTAATAATTCGTAAACGAAGCCGCGGATTGCATTTTCGCTAAGGAAAAAGTTACTTCAAATGACCTCAGGAGCCCCCCTCCCCAATTTCTCTCTTCTACAATAATCTTGGAACACCCTGTGGAATATCTTTTTATTCTGAAGGCACTTGTGAAGTGGTTTTTCGATTGACTAACTCATATTTGCGAATACTTACCTAACAACTAGTGGGAATATATTATTTGGTGAACGGTAGTCTTTGTAATAAAGCAGGAAAGGATTATCCTGTTGTACAAAGAGGGGTGGAACTCCAGCGGTACTCGTCACGATACTAACATCAGCACAGTTCCGAAATGTTTCTGGCCTCCCACAACCACTGGCTTCGGTTCCATTGTCACAAGTACCCCACATGTTACCTGATAATAATTTTACAGTGCTCATTTTAAGTCAGATAATATTCCTGACCTCATTTATATCGTGATTCACAGTTCACTCGATGCAAATAATAATATCACATAATATCACATATTTATACTTGAGTATGCACATTAACGCAACGATACAAACCTGTGTAGTAATTCCATTGAATAACGCATTGAGAACAAGTAACATACGATGGCAAAGTCACCCTGTACTGAAATATAGCTTTTTTCTCAGTGTCTATTGGAATTTCAAATCCCACATCACGAGTACCGGTAACATACAGTGGGTACCTAAAAGTTTTATTCTGTTACATTACGTTACATTTGTAATTAGTAGCCTGTAGATTATTATGCAAATTTTGATTTTCGTGGATTATTTTATAAAATCCTGGGCACAGGAAAGATTTATTTAATTGTATCGAATATTCTTTCCATTAAGATTAAATTATAAGTGTTTTTTTATTATTGTTCGTGTAAACGTTTTCTACAGTGTTACAAGTCTGCTGGTACTACAAGTGCATAAAGTTGAATAGTGTTAAGTAGAAAAGGGTTTTTCATTACCTGTCGAAGCATTCTTGGGTTGCTTCGCTTCTTGGGTTATTGTTTGGGCACAGATACATTTCGAATCTTCCTAAATGGTTCGCCGTAAGTTCGACTTCGACATCAATATCCTGCGCGCGCGCGAAACAGAAAAATATAGTAAGCTCGTAATAATAATCGAACCTAAGATCAGAATGCCATAGAATGCCACATTTTGTCAGCTATTTTCAATGAGATAATTCTTAGTAACAATATAATGGTTGAATTTTGTTGTTGTTTACTCTACTAGACAAAAATATAGAAATGCAATAACTTCACATATATAAAACGCAAATTAAAAATTGCAGAAGCTACTTTTGGTTTTTGTCATTTAAGATTTTTTTTGAAATTGTATTCTATAATATATGCTTGTATTCTATATATGAATCAATTACTGTCATTATTCATTACTGTCTAAGATTATTAGTGATCGTTTATCAAAAAGGTTTTTAATGAATTAAGTAAAATTTTAAGGAACATGTGTCAAACGGATAGAATTTGATTTGTCATATTTCATTATTTCTGAGATATCGAAATAAGTTTCAGTTTTGTCAAAGTTAACGCATTTTTTAAAAATAGTACATCGTTGCCGACGAAAGGACGAATTCAGCGACCTATAATATATTTTGCACGAATAGCAAAACCCGTATTTTGCAGATTAACATTGTATACATAATATACTAAGAATGACTTCAGTATTTCTCAATTGTTCTAAATCAGTTGCAAAGTTTTATATGGGAAGTGATGTCTTGAAAGGTAATGGGAAAAAGTTGTGTCGGTTTTGAGAAAATTCAAGGACACCTACAGTAAGGAGCATAACTGAACCAATAACTACAAGTTTGGTATAAATCATTATTTATTAATAAGAAGATCGGAGAATTTTCAAAAATAAACATTATAGTCATTTTTAAAAGTAACACAAGAAATTTTTTTCAATTATTAATGTCTCCTCGTTTAGCAATGAAAATAAAAATAGATTCACTCTAAAATATAATGTTTACGTGAAATGTTCTAGTAGTGTGTTTATATCTAGCAGTTTCGTATGTTTACAAAATGTTATTACACGACTTAGCACTCAGTTTCTCACAATCAGTCGAACGGAAAAGCACGCAAGTGAAGTAAAGAAAAATATATAGTCAATTGCACCATATTGTTTAAAAAAAGTAATTTCTCTTTTGAATGACGGCGTGTCAACGCGCCAGACGGCGAGAAAGCGCAGTATTAGTCAATCGACAGTGCAGAGAATAAGAAAAAAAAATACTGTAAAAGTATATTATTAAATATTGGAGGAAGAGACCAGAAAAATTATCACTGCAGGATGAACAAAGAATTATACGATTTGTCACATCTGGTGAAGCTTCAAATGCCACTATGGCTGCAAAATTATTAAAAGAAGATACGAATGTACAAACAAGCAAGTGGACAGTACGGAGAACCCGCAAAGGAGCTGAGTTTAGAAGCCTTAAAATAAAAGAGAAGCCAATGTTATCGAAGAAGAATATTAAACTTCGTTTGGAATTTTCCAAAAAATACCAAAAAAGGACAACTATTGAATAGGAACGGGTTATTTGGTCAGACGAGACCAAAATTAACAGAATTTATTCAGATGGCATGTCTTGATGCTGAATTCGTAAAAATGAAAGGCTTAAAGCACGACATGTAAAGCAAACGATAAAGCATGGAGGCGGATCCCTAATGTTTTGAGGGTGCCTAACAGCATTTGATGTTGGATCGCTGCAACGAATTAATGGCATCATGAATCAGTACATGTACAAGGATATTTTACATGATCATCTCATAGAGACTGTTGAAAATATGCCTTTTGAAGAAGAAAATGTAATTTTCATGCATGACCGAGACCCTAAGCACACTGCTAAAAGTGCAAAAACTTGGCTCAGTACTAAAAAATTCTCTATTCTGGATTGACCTGCGCAGAGCCCGGACCTCAATCCCATAGGGAATCTATGAGGTTTACTAAAAAAAACGACTTCGGGATTCATATAATTCCTAACCAACTTTAATAACAGATTTGTATAATAGAATTCAAAAACAGTGGGAACAAATATCATCGGATTATTGCAGAAAATTAGTGAAAAAGTATGCCAAAACGAATTAGTGCTATTGTGCAAGCAAAATGGTTGTTGACAAAATATTAGAAAATAAAGAATATAGTAGATATTGTCAAGTATTGGACGTGGTGCAAAACCGATTCAATTTATTGTTGTTGTCATTCTTAAACAACAAGACATTAATTATTGCAAAAATTTCGTATGTTACTCCTAACTGTGATGAAAATAACTATAATGTTTATTTTTCGTTATTCTTGTATATTTCTAGCAATAAATAATGATTTATACAAAAATTGTGTTTGTTGATTCAGTTATGCTCTTTACTCTAGATATCTCAGATCAAATTGTACTCACTTGACGCGTCACCTTACCATTGGCAATTTTTGGCAATTAAATTAAATATATTACCATCTTAACAGAAATAGATCTACAAGACGGATCTTCAAAAATACGTTTTGAAAAATTGTACAAAAAACTGAGAATGATGATAAATATTATTAATTGTAAAATTGTGAAATTGATCCTTCGTCTGAATGTTAAAATGCTAGATAATTCATTAAAATCTCCTAATATAAATAATATACATAATATAATATATAATAAATAATAATTCATTAAATTCCTTGCTACTAAATACGTCTGTTATTAATGTCTTCTGAGAGTTACGAAGTCATGCAAAGAACAAAAATTGTCTCTTTCTATTAGGAAAATTGCTAAGGGCAAAGAAGTCATTATAAAAGAAATCGTAGTACATGAGTTGAGGTCCTAATACCTCTAATGAACATCCGAAATCTCATTTCACAAAATTAGTATGGCAATGTCAGAAAACGAAAGAAATTCAAATTACCTGACCAGCTGTGTAGTGTCTAACTATAGTTCCTTTCGCGTATTCACCGCCGGCTTCGTGTGGTCTTGGATCTTTAAAGTGGTATGGGTCACCACATACTCCGCATTTACCGCTATTCTCGACCCATTGCACTAAGGAATAAATAATAAATTTTATATAGGAAGTTGTAATCTACTATTGCTATACTATTACTATTGCTATCCATATTACTTTAGGAGACAACTCACCGATATTTGTCAAGGATCTTGCCCTGAGCAACTTTAAAAAATTCGACATTCTTATCAATTACTTTACGAATGAATTATTTTTCGACCACGTTTCTTATTTCAATAAATAGTACTATGGTAAATTGTATAATACAACATTACTAGACTGCGAATCTTCATGCGAAACTAAAATGGACGAAGTTGTAAGAAACATAAGTTAGATGAAAATCTCTTCACTCTTTTAATAATTGCAATAATTTGAAAATAATGTAACAATATCCCTAAGTGATTCTAATGTCTATACGGTTTTGTATTTGGCCTGTTAATTTCACGATGTTAATTTTCAGGCTAATTTGTTGTATATTCCTAATTTTGTTAAGATCAGTAAAACGTATGAATGTGAAGAAAATAATTAATATCGAACAAATTCACTTTAAAATTTTAATTCGATTAAACGATATACTGCAATCTGATCACATTTTTGTGATTGTTGGTATGCCAGTCAAAGTGTTCAAAGAATATGGAATATAAACATTTTTATGCTATCACAGACGTAAATATAATATATGCACGTAATGCAAGTGAACTATATCAATCTGTGAGAGTCAAGGATTGATCATACATAATGATCATACATATTGAATATACAGAGTGTTCTACAAGTATGTGTTCCATTAAATTCATGAGCGCAATTACTCGATTGCAAGGATGTGTGTATGTGAGAAATTAATTTCCTTTTGGCAATTTAACAATGATTTCATTCAACGCTTGAATCGTTGTATACAGACGAATGTTTAAAGCGCGGTCGCATGGCTGGATACGATTGAATGTGAACGCACGTGTTTTAGTAGTTTATGATGGTTAACATAATGTGTCTCCGCTTGAGAAATCTTCTTGTAGATATAGCAAGCAGAAGGTTATTTGAATGACAATATAACTGAGAAATGTCTGTTCCAGTATGGAGCAATGTTAGATGCCCGGAAGCATGTTTATTATAATATTAATATATAATGAAATATATCAGATTAAATATAATACGTAAGAAATTGAAAGCTACAATTTTCAACTATCAGAGAATCGGCTTTTCTGCATTTAAAAGTTGTCTTTTTGATAAACATTTATAAAGAGATACCACGTTTCGATCTCGACTATTTTTCAAGATGTTATCGAGGTCATTGCTCAGAGTAGTGTTATGACCATTTTACTTTGAGCTTGTTTTTTTATTGAAATTATATAAAATGGCAGTTATGATTATTATTCGAGGTTGGGTTAATAGTATAGTTTATATAAACATCATTTTAGAATCACAATTTTTTTCTTTCAATGATTTTATTATCCACCTACACTCTTTTTTGCTTTATGACAAATTAGTCATAAACCATATTATAATATAAGCAAATATACATATAACCAAATCGACATAGTTCGATTTTATGTATTTAAAAAATTTTAAAGAATATATTTAAAACAAGGCTTGGAGTTATCGACACGCAGCATAAAGATTACGAGAGCCGTGGTCGCCTAAATGATACACGTAATGCGGTCACGAAAAGTCACTACAAAAGGAGTGGGGACAGGCAACGCATTTGCGGGCGCTATCGTAGTTCAGAATTAGAATGTTCACCCGATAGATGCTCCACACCGCTATGCGAGACTCTCCGCGCATGCGTCGCCTGTCCACACTCTTTGCATAATGACTTTTCGTGACTGCATTGGTCAGGAGGCGTAGGTCTCATAATCCTTATGTCCCGTGTCGTTAATTCCGAGCCCTGGGTTAAAAGACCTCTGGTAGTACCTCTACTAGAATTGAGTAATTATACTTTATTTCAAGTTGGTTATTTTTATATCAGAAGGCAAGCCATATTGTGTTCACACTAATAAACAAAAATGAAATACAATTAATATCGAATAGTTACTTTACAGTTACCAATTATCTCCAACAAATATTATATAATTTTATTTACTTGATAGTTAATGTTACTTATAGTTGATTTCTTTGTATAAATTTTATGTTGGCTTTCACTAACCTGCATATCCACCACAGAAAAGCTCATTGTCATTGTAGTTGACAGGATTTGGATATCCAAACCTCCACATACTGTTCCGTGCTGGTGGGTCCATCAAACGTCCATGTCCGTGCACGTGAACGTGCTTGGAAACCTTTGAAATTACTATATGTTTTAATCTTTTAAATATGCAATATAACTTCAATGAACAAGGTGTCATTTACGATTTCTGACTTTTTTTTTCTAAAGAAATAAAAAAATATGTTCAGATGAGAAAAGAGAAAGTGTTTACAGATAATAAAGATTAATAAGGTATTATAAAGATGCATTATTTTTGAATAGATATTTGCCGCCATTTTAAGGCTTGTCATGACTGACATTAAAAATAATATCCTGCTGGATACCCAAGAAATTATATAATAATAAGTACAATTTGCACAAAAATTAAATTTTACTAATTCGAAACATAAACTATTATTAGAATCTATGTATACAAAAGTTGAAATTCTTTGATTCATAATACTCTAATTTTCTAATAAAATCCTAATTTTCTAATTAATCCTCTATTGGACAATTTGTTTCAAATAATTTATATTGAAAAATGATATAGTTGTGAATATGTGCGATTAAGAAAGTTGGGGGAATTTCCTGATTATGTACCGTCTACGAAAATTACATCACGCGAACTCCAAAAAAACACTATGCTTTCTACAGGAAACAATCCTGAGTGTTCATAAATTTGTATCACTGAAATCGTATTAATTCCACTGAGAATGATATAACTGAAATAATTTCCATTCGCCGCCCATTGAAACTTCCATCAGCCCGAAGACAAGGTTATTTGTTTTTATGACTTCCTCGAAAATGACATCGTAACATTTTAACCACGTTGCATGCTTAAGCACATTGCTCCAACTCATTATATAATGTAGCTCAAATAAAGTTGAATTGTAATTATATGAATCTCCATTGTTCTGATTTTTTTTTGTTCAGCGAGCTTTCTATTTGAAGTGGAATGTGTTGATAAAAACTTATTCACACGCATTACTCGCACATGTGTCCGCACCCATCTTTATCACCTAGCAGTAATGTACACGGTGTCACGATTAAATTGCACACTTCTGATTATGCAAAGTGTAACAACATATGACGGTACTGTATTTAAATATTTATATAGAGCCCAGGAAAATAAAAGCATTATTTTTAGTGACAAATTGTAAGATAAGTCATTTTTGTTAAGAACTGTATAGTTATATTTTATTTTTATTAGACATTGACACCGTACGTGGAAAATAATATATACAATATATTATTGCATATGGTTTTAAACATAAACGAGCGAAACATCACCTGATCACGACATTTTATGTTCAGGAACCCTTGGTATTCCTATTTTGCAAAAAAATATGTATTTGCATAAACATCTGCAGTTTACTCATTAACGATGCGTATATCTATTTGACTATTAATTAATAAGTAAATAAATAACATAAATAACATAAACATAAGTAAATAAAGAAGTGAAAATTCTTACTTTATCAATGTAGATATAATTAACTTATTATTCTAGAAAAAAGTGATCGAAATACATATATAAATTTATATATAAAAAATATTTATATATAAGTGACTCTGCTACATATATTTTTTAACCGTTGTTCCCAAGGTCGCATTTAGCTTTTTATTGATGAACCTGCAATGTTTTTACGACCATCGCTCAACTGAGACGAGTTTAGTAAGCGTTATAAAATTCTTTTTCCCCCATCTAAAAGAAACGATAAAATGTAGTGTTCAAGAGAAAAGGAATTTCATATGGCCTTGTTAACGTAGAATATCTCATATACATCACTACTTTATGTTATGATATTTTTGTACAACTGAAATTTTAAAATTCTTATCTATAAAATTCTTAATTTAAACACATCTCAAAGTAATGAAACTGTCGATTAAAATTAATTCGAATAAGAAGTAGTAATTTAGTACAACAGAAATAAAAATTTATGTAAACTATTACTGTATTAATGTTAGAGTAATATTAATGCTGTATTTGCTTTGTCGCAGACGTATCTTTCCTGACTTGACTTGTAAATTGCTTTGTAATTATCATAGAAAATTTCTAGTATACATACACAATCAATTCACCAATTAAGTTATCGACTTTTCAAACGTATTAAAAAGTATTGTTCTTAAAAATTTCGAATTTTAGTGCGCTTTCGATTAAATGGGCAAACAAGGTCCACAGATGAAAAAATCTCTTGCAACACAACGCTGTCGATGCTTAATTTATATAAACAATTGATATATAATAATATATCAATATAAAGCAATAATAAAAATATTTTAAACAAAATAAAATGTATGAAATAATGATAGTTGATATAATGATATGTAATTTGAATATAATTTGCTGAAATAGTGTATGAGTAATGGAGGGAAATGGAAACGGAACTTGGCGAAATGTGTCGTTATTTAAGCACCACGGTCTTTCAACGTTTTCCTTGCTAATGAGGAAAAAAGAATATAGAAAATACGAGGGCTACCACACGAACATTCTCAGAAAAAGAGAAATCTTGTCTTCGGAATGCTCACTCGAATCGTGACACATATTGTCGTCGTGCAAATATTTATTGTCCCTACTTTGCTGCTCGCAGGTTGTGGTAAATGATAAGTATGCATTACAATAATAAATCTACCGTTATCCATGTTTCGTATTAATGTTTTTCTACTCATGGTCAACCTAGTTGAACGTTTAATCGTTTCTGTAAATATTTTAAAAACCGGTTATTTGCATATTGACAATTGTTATTCTGAATAATATATTAATACTGTTTTACATCTTTCTATTTGCTATAATGATCAATATAGATTTCTATATTAACCTATAATATACTTTAAAGGAAATATTTCACTAGCTTTTTCATACCAAGAAGAAGAGAAAGAAATATTATCTTTTTTTAAGATACCATATTTGGATTTCGTTCGTTAAAACGATTATAATTAAACAATACAGAATCAGTTCTGTGTACATATTTTACATATAATACAAAATATATACGAGCATGATGATAATATTTATGATAAATGCACTTCCACATTTAGCAAAAACAAACATAGATGAATTAATTACATTTATACGCGAGTTACAAGAATTTTTGGGTGTTTTATCAATGAAATTTTCAATTCGTCACTTTGGTAATGCAGAGGTCGTTAGAATCAGTGTTTCTTTGCTATGCCGATATTGCAGATTCCTGACGCTACTAAATCCTGAAAGATGTAGCATGAATTCTATACCCTGTTTATATAAACTAAACTATATTTTTTTTGAAGAAACAATTTTCCAATCCAAGTTTGAGAAGTTGTTTGTACGTATCTTCTTGACAAACTTCCATAAAGAGGATTGGATGTATGATATACTAAAAAATCATTATTTTAAATA